TTTACCGAAACTTAAAATAATTCACTACTGAATTTAACTTATCTCCATTGCATATAAGTGATTGGGTTTTTTAGATTTCCTCATCGTATACCGAATCATGAAAAATGATCTTACAATGTTTAGAACAACTTTCTCAAGACTTTACACAATTTTTAGAAAGTGAATACGACTATAATGTAGTAATTGAAGTTGGTGAACAACCTAATATTAAAAATTTAAAGGACATTCAACAATTTTATACCAACGTTCATTATACTTTCGTCTAAAATTTTCAAATGCGCATATCTCTGCCAATTTATTTGATATTATTATTAAGTAAGTATAGCATTATATAATAATATCGATTTGAGATTATAATTATCAAATTTTTATAAAATTTTTATTAATAGATATGATAATAGATACATCTATTGCGGTATAGTTTCTTTGGAAAATTTCGAAGTTTCAGCTATCTTTGATTTATTAATCACTGTAAATGAACTTAAGCTTACAGAATTGACCAAACGTCTTCAATCTCACCTAATTGATAAACATGCATCTTGGCTTCGTTTAAATTTTTCTCGTGATCTTCAAATTAGTTTCCTTGACGAAAGTTTTGAACCTTTACAACAATTTTGCAATAATATTATTGCAAAGCATCCAAGCACGATTTTTGATTCTGAGGATTTTACCACTCTCCAAGAAAATGCGTTAATTTCTCTTTTAAAGAATGATGATTTACAAATGGAGGAATCAGAAATTTGGGATAGTTATTTTATGGGGAAAAACGAAAACTCCAAATTTACCACCTAATCTCAAAGAATGGACTGATGAAAAAAAAATTTTAAGTCTTTGAAAACTACCGTTCAACATTGTCTTCCTCACATTCGATACTTTCAAATTCCTGGTGAAAATGTCTTTACGAAAATTAAACAATACCGAAATATTCTTGAAGATAATACATGGGATGACATTACGTCAAAATTAATAGTTCCAAATATGTCTATTACATCTTTAATTTTACCTCCTCGTAAAAAGGCAACGGAACGACTTCCTCCTCGAAAAGCATCTATTATTACAATATCTTCTTCCATAATCACATTACAGCATGCAGCAGAAATTTAATCATGGATCGATTGACGTTCGACAATTTATGATACTAAAGAAATTCCATATGAATTTAAACTTTTACTTAGAGGAAGTAGGGATGAGTTTACAGGTGAAACATTTCATGGACTATGTGATAATATACCCAATACTGTGGTTGTTGTAAAAATTAATAGCACGAATGAAATACTTGGTGGTTATAATCCTCTTATCTGGAAAGTTGGTGGTGGATATACAGAAACGGCTGATGGCTTATTTTCTCTTTAAAACATGGAAATTTAAATGAATCTATTCTTAGTCGTGTAAAAAATACATCAAAAGCAATTTATTATAGTAACTCCATATCATCACAAGGTCCATGGTTTAGTAATTACGATCTCGGAATGGGAGAATCTAATAGTTCTGCTCTTAGAAAATGGTTTCATTCGCTCTCCCAAATTCCTCAATAAATAAAGGTCATATATATTCACATTCTTTTTTATAATAAATGCCTAATAAATCATGAATATCCGAATACCATAATTTATTACTCAATTCATGTGACCCTTCTAACGTCAACTATCGGAGTTAAACTCGGCATGACAATACCAAGCTCTCCCTTACGATGGTTACAATTGCAATAATATAATGTATTGCTGAGAATAATTATTGTTCTTCAGTTTTTTTATGTTCAATTGCTGATTACTACAAAGTTTTTAATTAATAGAAAATAATAATAATAATAATACGACAGGGTGAAACCCGCGATGCCTGCTAGTAAAATCCGTGTTGATTGGCTAATTTTGTAAAATCCGCGTTATATCTCAACGCTACAATTCTGCTGATAAAGATAGTAAATAAACACTATATAATATGATATATGCAAAACAATTCAATATTTATTATAATTATTGTTTGGATTAATTATGATCTAAGTTGTTTTTTATATAAATTTAAATTCTTGACATTTTGCTTTTTCACTTTTTTTATGGTTGACTTGCCTGATTTACATAATTCTGGCCATTACTGCTAGTTAACATTGGGCCGGTTATTTTGAAATACTTTTTTTCAAATCGATCTAATTCTGGTCAAATTTGCTGATCATTTGGCCTTTATCAGTTTTAACCTGATAAGCCAAGGGTCAAATGATCAGCAAATTTGACCAGAATTAGATCGGTTTGCAAAAGTATTTCAAAAAAATCGGCCTATACGATGAATCCAATCATATTTTGTAAATGGTATCAGTCAAAATCTAAGCCTCTTTGTATCAATATACATAAACTGGTAGTACTGTACATTTATGTAAAGGATCTCTTAAATTATCGATACGTATCAATAAAGTGAAGGATCAGTCTCTTTGCATAGAAATACACGAAGAATAATTTGTACGTATTTTAATAACAATAACAACTATTATATCATATATAAATTACTGAGACTTAAAATAAGCTACTACTGAATTTAGCTTATTTCCAAGTGATTGAGTTCTTAGACTTCCTCATCGTATACCGCAGCATAAAAAATGATCTTACAATGTTTTGAACAACTTTCTCAAGACTTTACACAACTTTTAGAGAGTGAATACGACTATAATGTAGTAATTGAAGCTGGTGAACAACCTAATATTGAAAATTTTAAAGGGCATTCAATCATTTTATACCAACGTTCATTATACTTTCGTCAAAAATTTTCAAATGCGGTTAAGAAAAATAATGTTATTGAAATTAAGTTACCTCATATTTCTGCCAAATTATTTGATATTATTATTAAGTAAGTATAGCATAATATAATAATATCGATTTGAGATTATAATTATCAAATGTTTATAAAATTTTGATTAATACATATGATAATAGATACATCTATGGTGGTATGGTTTCTTTGGAAAATTTCGAAGTTTCAACTATATTTGATTTATTAATCACTGCAAATGAACTTAAGCTTACAGAATTGACTAAACGTCTTCAATCTCACCTAATTGATGACCATGCATCTTGGCTTCGTTTAAACTTTTCTCGTATTTTTCAAATTAGTTTCCTTGACGAAAGTTTTGAACCTTTACAACAATTTTGCAATAATATTATTGCCAAGCACCCAGGCACGATTTTTAATTCTGAGGATTTTACCACTCTCCAAGAAAATGCTTTGATTTCTCTTTTAAAGAATGATGATTTACAAATGAAAGAATCAGAAATTTGGGATAAAGTTATTTTATGGGGAAAAGCAAAGACCCCAAATTTACCACCCGACCTCAATGAATGGATTGACGATAATTTTAAGTCTTTAAAAGCTACCCTTCAACATTGCCTTCCTCATATTAGATACTTTCAAATTCCTGGTAAAGAAGTCTTAAAAAAAATTAAACCTTATCAAGATATTCTCGAAAAGAAGCTGTGGGATGATATTGTGTCAAAGTTTTTAGATCCTGATGCATCTATTACTTCTAGAATTTTACCTTCTCGAAGAGGATCTATTATTACACCATCTTCTTCAATAATCACGCTACAACATGCAGCAGAGATTTCATCATGGATCGATCGACGTTCAATAATTGGGGGTGAGTCAATAGAAATCAAGCAAATTTTTTATAATAAAAATTTTTTATAACTTTAAACAAAAATAACTTAATGAAACCTTGACCAAATTTAACAAAAATTTTTTAAAATAATTTTTACAAACTTGTAGAATTAATTTAAAAAAAATTTTATTAAATTTGATTAAGTTTTTGTTAAGTTATCCTTGTTTAAAGTTTTTAAAAAACTTATTAAAAAAAATTTGCTTGGTTTCTATTGACTCAACCCCAATTTATGATACTACAGAAATTCCATATGAATTTAAACTTTTACTTAGAGGTAGTAGGGATGGGTTTACAACTGAAACATTTCATAGGCTATGTGATAATATACCAGGTACTGTGGTTGTTGTAAAAATTAATAGCACAAATGAAATACTTGGTGGTTATAATCCTCTTATCTGGAAAGTTGGTCATTGTGATTATGCCGAAACAGCCGATAGCTTTATTTTCTCGTTAAAAAATAGAAACTTAAAAGAATATATTCTTAGTCGTGTAACAAACGCATCAAAAGCAATTTATTATTGTGGTACATCATTTGGTCCAAGGTTTAGTGGGAATGACCTTGTAATGGGAAATGGTTCTGACCCTAAAAAATGGCATTGTCTAAAAAAATCATATGATAATCCTATTAGAAATACAAATGGATGGTTTACTGTAGACGAATATGAAGTATTTCAAATTTGTAAGAATACTTAACGGCTTCGTCGTTAATTTGAGTTACTAGATTATTAATGCATAAGATGCATATTTAGTGAACATTTCTTTTAAGTGCCAATGTGTTGAATTTTAAATATTTGATGCTGCAACTAAAAACTTTCTTTTTTTAAAAAAAAATAAAAAATTGCAACTTAATCTTATGGTAAAAGGCACGGCAATTAACAAAATTTTTTAATTCATTATCATATTATACTTTGTTTGTAACTCCAGATAGATTGTTGACAATCTGTTGGCACCACCTTCAATATTTATGATGATATTGATGCTCTTTTCCAATAATCACGGATAGACAGGAAAGCTTATAATATAGGAGATGAATTTTAGAATACGATACAGTGAATTAGTACGCCGCATACTACTCCCATATATATTTATTACGTAATTAATTTGATAAATTCTTAAAGTTTCTTTGATAATGCAACAATTGTAACTGTACTTTAGCGTGAATGGCTTTAAATCTGTTGATAAAATAGTAATACATATAGGCATGAAATAGCTGTAAACAAAACATTTCAATATTTATTAAAAAATCTATAAACCTAATAATGATTATTTTTCATCTACAAATTTAAGTAACTTACCTTGTATCATAAATTATTATATGTCTTGAAATAATTTATGATACTTGCGTTGTGAAAGGGAAATGAGCCAGGTCGTCGACGAGGCGACTCAGGTCGAGATCGAATTCGAAAAAAACACAAAATATTGTCGATCTGCTAGATATACAGGATATGGTGAGTGTAGAGTGAATAGGGTTTGGGTCAAAATCCCGACAAAAATCCTGACAGGTCATAATCCCGACAAATCTTAACAATCTAAAAATGTGTTCATTTGAGCAATTTTACTATATAATCGCCTAAACTCTAACCCTAACCTAAGTGCACACCCTCACCCTAACCTAACCTATGCACTCACCTAACTTAAATAAACTTAATAATTTTTATTGTCGGGATTTTGACCAGCACCCAACTTTAAAAAGGCCATTTTCTAGAAAAGTTGCTTCCATTCACTCTTACACATTATTCACTCGACAAAAAGGCCCATAAAATCAAATCGGTGGATATGGTACCAATTTAATTTTTGTACAACACGTAGTAAATATAAATTAACGTTAGAAATTTGAACAACTTTACCAAGACCTTACACAACACTTAGAAAGTGAATATGATTATGATATAGTAATTGAAGTTGAACAACCACATATTCAACTTTTTAAAGGGCATTCAGTAATCTTATACCTTATACCAACGTTCATTATACTTTCGTCAAAATTTTGTAACTGCGATTAAGAAAAATAATATTATTGAAATTAAATTACATCATATTACTGCCAAAATATTATTAAGTTATAAATAATATGTCATTATCGGTACAATATCATAATTATCAAATTTTTATTAACTTTATTAATATTTATGATATTTGATTATTAATCGCTGCAAATGAACTTAAGCTCACAGAATTGACTGAATCTCTTTAATCCCACCTTATTGGTAATCATGCTTCTTGGCTCGTTTAAATTTTTCTCGTGTTTTTAAAATTATCTTCTTTGACGAAATTTTTGGAACTTTACAACAATTTTGTAATAATATTGTTGTCAAACATCCAAGCACGATTTTTAATTCTGAAGATTTTACCATGATACATGAAAATGGTTTGATTTTTTTTTAAAACATGATGATTTACAAATAAAGAATCAGAAATTTGGGATAAAGTTATTTTATGTGGAAAAGCAAAGACTCCAAATTTACCAACTGACCTCAATGAATGGACTGATAAAAATTTAAAGTCTTTAAAAGCTACCCTTCATCATTGCTTTCCTTTCAAATTCCTGGTAAAGAAATCTTAAAAAAAATTAAACCTTATCAATATATTCTCGAAAAGAAGCTGTGGAATGATATTATGTCAAAATTTTTAGATCCTGATGCATCTATTACTTATATAGTTTTACCTCCTCGAAGAGGACCTATTATTACACCATCTTCTTCGAGAATCACATTACAGATGTAGCAAAAATTTTATCATGGATCGAGTTTATGATATTTCAAACCCAAACTTTTACTTAGAGGTAGTAGGGATGGATTTACAGGTGAAATGTTTCATAGTTTGTGTGATAACAAACCTTGCATTGTAGTTGTGGTAAAGTTTAATAGTACAAATTAAATAATTGGTGGTTATAAACCTCTTATTTATAAAGTTGATAACTGGTATGATAGTATATTACGTGGTCCATGGTTTAGTGATTTTGACCTTGGGATGGAAGATTGTAATGATCCTAAAAAATGGCATTATGATAAAGATTCATATGATAAGCAAAAAATAATGGGTGGCATATTATAGATGAATATGAAGTATTTCAAGTTTGTAAAAATATTTAACAGCTTTACTGTTGATTAGAGTTATTTAGATTATTGGCGTGCGTAAGATGATAATACATTTAATTAACCTAAATATGTAACCGAAATTTCTCCCAAGCTGCTAACACGCCGTATTTTAAGTGTTTAAGTCGCAATTAAAATTCTTTTTTTAAAAGAAAGATTGTAACTCATCCTTGTTATAGTAAAAGTTGTTTTATTGAGTTCTATCAATCTGGTCGACATATTTCAGTTTAATGAATGACTACGTCACTTATTGCTGCCATAAATTACATCAATAAAACTTCAATTAATTACACTTCATTCATTATAGTTTACTCTCTAAACATCGTTAAGTATTTTCAAAAATTTTTCTTATTTAATATAAATTTTTACTTCTTTGCTTATAACCTCTTAAACAAATATTAGAAACATGTATTAGTCAAAAAGATCATTTAAAAGCCATTATTCTAAAAGTCAAAAATCAATAATGAATTTTGAGTTTTTTTTGGTAATTAAAAGGTAGTTCAATCATTATTTATTTTTAATCCTCAAAATAAATAAAACTAAATGAAAATTATTTTTTAATTATTTTTTAACTTATATCCTAATATCGACAAATTAAAATAAACAAATAATTGCCCTGTCACTTTTCATGCAAACGTACGTTAAAAAAATCGAGTCAAATAGTTACGGAATAAGCTTTTTTATTATTTGTTTATTAAATGAAGTTTCATATACTGTAGCATTAGCATTGATTTAATATACCGAACAAAATTATTCAACCCCTAAAAAAAATGTTATTGTTGCAATTTCGAAAAGACCTGTTGCAGCATTTAAAAGAATCAATTAATTATTTTCAAGGCAATGTTGTTACGTTTTGCTAATTATATTAAAAATGTTGGCATCTTTTTTTTTAAATTTAATTTTTATTCCCATCACTAGATAATAAATGTTTTTTAATTAATCGGTAAAGCTTGCTTATACCGATTTCAGACAACATACAATATTCAAATGATGCATAACGATTCCAAATTGATAGGAATCAATAAATGACTCATATTAAAAGCGCTTATTTTTATTATTATTAAATTTTTTTAAATTCACCATATTAAAAGAATTCTTGGTTTGAAAATTCATTTTCAACACCAGATGGGCTAGCACTACACACTCTTTATTTCGAATATCGATGTTCTTTTCCGTTACTGACAAATTTTGTTTTTTATAGCATATTGTGTGAGTTTTAGAATTGTTGTGCTGGGTACTAGTAAAACTAACAAGACTCATTCCATATGTATTCCTATATAATATAATTAACAGAGTTCATAAGTCTTTTTGATCGTGCAAACCTAACTTTTTAATATGTACAGTATGCCTTAATATTATCATATATCTCAACACTATTTCAATTCTGCCGATAAGTATTATAATTATATTTGGATTAAATTATGAACTAAGCTGTTTTTACCAGTACGATCACATGAATGTGTAACATGAAATGTGAGAGGGATGGTTCCGTTCGACTTTTTTGATGTTCACTATGCTGATTTTTGAAAAATCCTTTTTTGGTAGGAATAATGATTTTCATTTATTCATTTTTAGAAAGAGTTAATACGTACCTTTACAATTACATCACAGTGCTGTTGCATTATTATGATGCAATTGCTTCTTATTACATATGACTGTGTGAAAATAATAATCGTGAGAAAAATATCCTTCTGATTCATATCGGCACAGCAATAGACATTTTATTTTATCGATCTAATAACTAAAATGATGACAAAAATTATTAATCATGTCAACTTTTGCTGTGCCGATAAGAGAGATGAATCATGTGGATGTTATGTCGCATGTCCGTAATCTGTGACAGGTTAGTTAAGCCTGACTATATTTCCAGCATAAGACTTGACTATTAAAAAAAAAAATACCTGTAGTTATAATTTAAAAACTTACGTATAATTTCAAAAGTTGCATTTTTGATATTATCCAACCAAATATTTATATAAAAAAATAAAAACTTTGAATTTTAAAATTAAAATAACGAATACCATTTAAATATTCCTCTAGTATATTGTATATGTAATTTCTTTGACCATGCTAATTGTTCAACTCATTCTTACTTAAATGAATGATACTTTTTTTACTTAACTCGAATGAAGATAACTTAAAGAGCTAAATTCTCATTATTTATTTGTGAACTCATATTTTTTTCATAAAGAAAAATATTTGGATTTTATTTTTGTTATATTGTACTGATCTTTAAATTTATCTAATACGGTTCGTAATGTTGGCTAATATTTTGACAGTTTGAATTAATAACTAAAAAATAAAGTGATGCCGTAAATATCGTTCTCATCCATCTTCTTAATTCTTTTTTTTTTAAAATATATTTAAAATTTTTTTTTATGAACTTTATTAAAAAATTGGATTGGTTATCTTTTAAGTCATATTATAGGTCGATAAGGTTATTTAAAATTTAATTTATATACTGTACTTTACTTATGTTAGATAAAAAAAATATTTAAATTTATAAATCGCAAAAAATAAAGTATAGCCAAATATAATCAAATCGTTTTTTATATATTCAAATTTAACTTCGTAATAATAAGCTCACTAAATACAATAGCTTTTTTATCATGATTTAAGGCATAGTCGGACGGTGATTGAAATCAGTGGCTTACCTGTCACAGATTACGGACGATCGATCTATGAATTAATCAGATATTGCAAATCAATGAACTACCATAATTACATCACAACTATCACACATATGATAATATAGTACTGTAGTATTGTCATTCATTTACGTATTATCTGAATGCTGCAAAGCGAAACCTAAATTTCATTTTTTGAAATAATTCCAGGTTTTTCTCTTATTTTAAAAATCGACATTCACCTTAAAAATAAATTATTAAATAACAGGTAAGTTGCAACAGACTTTTTCTATAATAGCTCATGTTAATTCTAATGCAAACTAAGAAAATTCGAAGAGCTTGAATATATAGTTTATGAAAAATTTATGGATTTTGAAGGAGAAAGCAATATGCTTATGGATCTTGAGATAGTTGTGATATTTTCCAAACAGCTAACAATATGGGTTAAAAAATTTTTTCTAAATCTAATATTATATTAATTCAGGTACAACGAAACTCTCAATATCCTTTGATTACAGAAGCTAAAAAAACTTATGGAAAAATATTCGAACATCAACCTTAATTGATTACACACAAGTCAACTTAACGATCAATCTGGTAAATTCAGAAAACCAGAATATAGATAATGAGGAATCGAGTACTGATGGTAGTGAATCCGAATCTGAAATTTTAAGAAAGTAAAAAAAACTCTTCACAAGTATAAAAGGATTTTTTTTATCATTATATTTCTGTTTAAATAAATATATTTATTAATTTTATGTTTTAGGCGCTTGATTTTCTTGAAAAGTCCAATAATCTTCCCAAAAAAAAAAAACAGGCTTCGAAGTATTGAATCAAACCTTAAACCTATTCAAAAAATGATAGATGAAATTAAAGATTTTGAACGAGCAAAAAAGCTTCCAAAAACTTAGAGTAGACGTAACAAAAGCATCTTTTATTGTTAGTATTAAATTCAAATTTAAAGCTTTATACGTGTAATAAACAAAATTTAAAGCTTTATACGTGTAATAAACAAAATTTAAAGCTTTATACATGTATTAAATAAAATTTAAAGCTTTTTGCGTGTATTAAATAAAATTTGAAGCTCTATACGTGTATTAAATAAAATTTCAAATATTTCTTCAAAAAATCTCGTGATTCTGTTATTCTTGTGCGCAAATTGAAATTTTATGTAACTGATCGTGGTGGCGATACTAGGTGCGTTCTTAAAACTAGCTTGAAACTTTATTCACTGATACTGTATACACTAAAAACTGACCAATCATCGAAAGATTTCCATCTAAAGTTTCCTATTTTATCAAACACTGATATTAAAAAAAGACGCGTAGTTTGATTTATTATTTATATTTAATAAACAAATATTTAATAACTTCTATTTATTTTCAATACATTTGATAAAGAAATCGCAGGTTATCTTTTAACTGTCAAATACCAAAAATGGAGTTTATCGGATATTTTAAGATCCTTGCCAACTAATGTCAATTATACAATTGAAAACGTTCAAGAGTTCAAGAAATGAAAGTTTCAATTTTTTCAATAAGGTGAAGGTATTTATATTTTGAAGTCAATGGTTTCGGACATCCCAAAGGTGTAATAAGAGAATTTGTTCAAAAAACTTAATGGATTTTGAGTTAGCATCTTTATAGTTATGTACTATAGCTAAACCTCCTCTTCTTTAGTCCTTAGTGGGTGTAAAAGAGATGGTACATCACACTTTCAAGACAATGGTTTCGCATACTAATTGTAAAGCCGTCGACCTTGACCTTACTAGACGCTACAACACAATACAAGCAGTCAATGAAGAACGTCATATGAAAATACTGTAATTAAAAATGTAAATGAAGGAGAGAGAGAATGAAAAACGATAATCAAGTTGCTCATCAAAATCCTAAATTTGATACATCTATTAATTGAAAATATTTACAAATATTATGAGGTAATATATTGAATTAACCTATTTCTTTTAAGAAAGCTATTAGTTATAACCATTAATTTTTCTGTATTTTCTATGTTGTGTTGTTGCTTAGTTTAGTTAAAGTTGAATTTGAAAATCTTAAAAAATTACTGCAGGCTGTTGTACTTGTTATATTCCCACATAAGAAAATGCAAATTTCGTTTCCCACAAGATCTAAGAAAATCCATTACGAAGTATCCACTCAAAATAATAGAGAAAATTTAGAACTTAGCCGTAAGGGCTCTAAACATCCAAGTGTGAGAAGAGGAAATAAAGTTGATGACATCAAAATCCTACATCATACAATAGACACGACAAAAATTTCAAACGTGATTATCCATTTTTAGAATAATAATTGAAAAGATGCAATTCTGAAAT